CAGGGGAATTTTGGAGGATTAGCTGAGGCTGGGGTTGCTGATGAAAGATAATCAGTAATGATTAATTTTGCGACAGAGTAAGCAGACATTCTTCCTTTTTTGGGTTCTTTAATTTTGATTTATAGTTCTTTTCTTGGTCGATAGTAATTTTTTAAAATGGAGAATTTCATGAATTTTTTCATGCAGAGTGTGGACTCTGGAGTTTGAACTGCTTTCAAGTGTAAAACCCCATTATCTTCTCCATGCATGTACGGTTGGGTTTCGGGTTAGCCGGTTCGAGTATTTTCCTTTTCTTTGTCAAAAATATAAAAAGATAAAGTACTAAAATTAAAAAATCCTGCTCTTCTGTCAGGGTTGCAACTAGGAACCAATAGCTTTTTAGAGTTGTTAATATTTTATTATTATTATTCTTGATTATAGTTTAGCAATAAAGAGGACGATTGGGTTTTTAGTTGTTAAACATCATAATATTTTTATTTTTTTATATTACAGATTCTTTTTTCATTTTTTAACTTTCCAATGATAAAAATTATTATACATCAATAAAAAATTAAATTTATATTATAAATTAATACGCAAAACTAGAGTTCATTTTTTTTTTTTATCATTTGAATTAAGATCAGTTAACGACAACAATCAATTTGAATTTGTAAATAATTTGTGCTATAACATCATTAAGTGTAGGATCAAACATTTTTTTATTCACATAACATAGTTAATTAAAAGGGATCAAGAGAATTAAACTTCAAAACTTAAACTCTCCAATGAAATTTAGAGAGTCAGTTGTTCCTAGGATATGTTCTCTTACCCATATTAGGAAACAAGACTCAATTATATGAGTTAAGGAAAAAACAATATATTACAAAATAAGATACTAAAATAGAGAAAATATAACATGCTTTTTCATACAATCAAAAGCGATATTTACTATTTCTTCAAGATAAAGATTATTTTTGTAATTATTATTTACTATATATTATGATTATTTTTTATTTATTGTATTTATGATTAATATAGTATTTAATATATATATATATAATTTAAATATAGTAGTGTATTGATCACTCCTCTTCAACTGGTGCTCTAACACCCTAGTTCTCTTGCCTCTTTTGAAACTAATTGAGAGTGTTTGCTATGCATATATAATTATATATATGAATAGGTTCTTTTTAAGTGCCGTGAGCTAATATTAATTAGTTCGAGGCTTCAAGCTCGGGTCTCCATATTGAAGTCTCCTTGCTACATAAGCTTTTATTCATTTCTCTCTCATGATCTCACAACAATTTTGAGATATTTTTCTATTGATCTCATACTTTTGTTCAAAAAATGCGTTACAAATATAAACTTAAGTCTCTCTCTC